GATAGATAGATAGATAGATTCAGATAGATAGATAGATAGATAGATAGATAGGTAGGTAGGTAGGTAGGTAGGTAGGTAGGTAGGCAGGCAGGCAGGCAGGTAGGTAGGTAGGTAGGTAGGTAGGGAGGTAGGCAGACATGTCGGTAGATAGCTACGAAGGTAGACAAAAGGATGAGATAAGAAACTTAGAAACATAGATGGAGGAATAAACACAGCGAGAGATATTAATATAGAGACTCGGAGATACCATCGTCACATCTACTGCAGGTCTCTGCCTCAGCCAGGTGGGCATGCATGAGCTCAAAGGCTGCAGCATTGCTGCCGCTGCAGAACCCGGGCAGCTGCGCCTCCGATGCTACCGAAAATGCCCTTTTCGCGGTAAGTTTGGGTTTCCAGCTTTGGAGTGCGGAAGCAGCCGCCTGAGACAGAATGAAGGCCTAGAGATCAAAGCCGCGAGATTCGAGTCGTTGCGTTTAGGATTGCAGTTCAGGTTGTTGGATCCACCATCCAGGAAGCAAAGACAGGCCTTGTCCACGGTGGGCTGCTTGGATGCCTGAGAAGAACCAGTAGGGCATCTTGTCTCTCTTCTTACAAGCACCTCGTCCGACTGTGCAGTCACTTTGACCATGCTATGGTCACGTTTCAATACACTCAACACTGAACCCCAATCAAACCGCAGGCAAGTTGTCCGCTTTGCCGACTGCAGTAAGGCATGACAGTAGCCCGCCACAGACTTGAGGAGGTTCGTTGTCTTTTGCGACTCTTTTCCGTCTATGGAAAGCATTCACGAGCGGAAAGTGGGGAGCACAGGACGAGAAGTGATCATAGTTCAGCAGCGTCCCTACAATGCTGAGTGCTGGGATACTTAAGTTCTTATTTCAGCACGCAGCTCGAGTGACGTATTGAACAGAAAGTAGGATCTCAAGATTCAGACTTTAGAGATGCGGGCTAGCACTCCTGAAGCGTCAGCCCCTGGACCCTGAAAGCTTCTGGCCGGTCCTTGATGTCTGCCAACGCAAGGCGATCCAGCAATCCGGCATCAGTAATCTTTGACGCCATCAGCCCTGCCTGAATCAGGGTCTAAAAGTCCAGGCGTTTAGGGCTTCGGCTTCGCGACAAGTGAGTGCTGCCCACAAGAGACTCTCACCGGCGCAGGGTGCCAAATACCCAAAGCAGTACCCGCTTAGGGTTTAGGGTTTCGGGCTTAGGGTTTAGGGTTTAAGGTTTCGGGTTTAGGGTTTAGGGTTTAGGGTTTAGGGTTTAGCGTTTAGGTCTCACAAGCGCCCTGGTCCCCCATCTTCGGCCTGGAAAACCACGTCGGACCACGTCTTCTTTAGCACAGCATGGGCCTTCCTAGTCGTCAAGCCGATAGCATTCCACAGCTTCGCATGTAAGGACAGGGATATGTGAAGATCTGCCACACGTAAGCAGGAGGAGGCTCGTAGGGCTGCCTTCGCTGCTGCTTTGCTGCGCCAAGCGACTTCTCTGCCCGCACCGACGCGGCGTAGGAGTTCTTTAGCTGCTCGAAGCTTGTCTGGCATTTCCCAGTGTATCCTCATAACAGGCTTTGCAAGGGTTTTACGAATCGAGGCCTTGTCGCCATATCTCAAGTATTCAACTGTTCCTACAGCACCGAGAGGTCCCAAAAGCGGTCCGGTCGCGCTGGGCTACAGTACTTGGCGGATCCCGGAGCCCTGGCCTCTCAGGGCATCCACGGCAGAGCTCATGGCGCGTGCTTGCTCGGTCGCCGCATCAAGGTACCTCGTCAGGCTCCGGGTTCTGGGGGCCATATGGGGTTTCCGAAAACAGGGGACCCTAATATAGTACCCTAAATAATAGGATCCTTATTATAAGGACCCCAAAATAAGGTACCCCGAATTTTCGGAAAGTCCCATATCCCCAAGGTATGTTCATTGGGACCTCTCCTAGTAGGACGCTAGTGGTCCCTTCTGCCGAGATACGCGTCCAGCTCCCGACGGATCTCCCACCAAGAGGTGTCAAAGGTCTGCATAGCTTGGGCAACACTCAGGTCCTGAAACTCATCCAGCATTGAAAACCTGGGTACAGAATGCACGGTTGCGAACATCATCGATATCTTCAATGAGCTGCAGGTGCAACATATTATGCAGGCAACTTGTTCTGCCAGTGCTGCTTGAACCAGCGTTGCACCATCTTGCCCCGTCTGGCCGTCTGGTGGTAAAGGCCAAGGTCATGGACTTTCGCCTGTTCAGTCTAGGGTCACAAGAGAGTTCGGCCCGTGGCGGAGTGTTTCTGGTTCAGATACTTGGAGATCTTATCTTGCAGCTGACAGCCAGCAGCCCGCATCGACTATGCGAATTGATCTCATCCTTACAAAAGGGCCTTGAGGAAGTCGTTCGTTCGAGACGCCGTTTCCAGGGCGTTCCGCTGCACCTCCTCAACTTGGGAGAGCCTCTGGCCTTTCACCAGCATGACCTCAGATTGAGCCAGCCACACTTCTGGCAGCAGCCTCCCCCCCCCACAAGGCAGCTGCAGCCGATGCTGGGGGGAAGGCCGTCGCGTGGAGCGCCGAGGCATCCTTGGCCATGGCCTTCAGCGAGGCTAAGCTCTCCGAAGCGTTGCCTCCTGCCAAGGCAGGCACTGAGGCACAAACACGGACACTTGCACTCTGCACGATCTCAACCAAACGTCCCTTGCACGAACTCTTCTGCGCTGCGCGGGCCTTCAACGCTTCGCCAGCGCCCCGCGAAGCTCCGCACGGCGCGCTCAGCGGCCTGGGAGGCGCGCGGCTGCAGGGCGGCCTGGCAGGGAGATGCAGGGATCGCCCCTCCCATGTCCTCCCACTTCTCGCTTTTGGTTTCGCCTCCTGGGCCGTGGCCATGAGCTCTGCGAGCTGAGCTGCCAGGCCGCGGCGGATCTCAGTGCCCTGGCATGGGACAAAACACGTCGCCGAAGGCGCCTTCGAATATGGCAAGCACCGGAAGATCTGCCTCCTGGACCAGAGATCCAGCCTCGCCCCCAACCTGGGAGTACATCTGCTTCAAGAGGTTTCGCATGTAAGCTGGACGCGATATCATGCGATACCCCAGCAGGAACCGAATTGCAGATGAATCCTTTCGATCCTTGCTTCAGTTTGCTGAGATATGCTGAGATATTCGAGCCACGACAGACTCTACAGTAAGGATTCCAAGATTCTGAATGTGATTGACCCTTCAATGCCGTCTGGCGGCGTAGTGCTCAAGGAGGATCTGCGTGTTCTTGCCGATGATTTCAACCGCTTCCTCCACCGCTCTTAGGATGGCATCATCGCCCTTTCCTGCAGCGACATCAACGGCGGCACAGAGCCAAGCTCACAATCATCTCCTGTTCCGTGCAATTCCGTAAAAAACGCCCAGCTTCTCACAGCATCGCGGATGCAGTGCAGGTCGCAAAAGGTCCGGGCGAAGCCGTGCCTTGCATCAGCACAACGGTTCTGCAGCAAAAGATTCGGTCTGCTAGCTCGCGTCTGCAAGAAACACCTGTTCAAGCCCGCTTAGGGCGGTCGTCGTGATTCGCACCAAGCTCTACATCAGGGCTTTTCAAAGAGCTTGACACAGGCGCGATCAAAACCATACACCGCTGCCGACTTGCAGCTGCTGAGGGAGTCCCCAAGATCATCGAAGCGAAACGTCCCTACGAAAACCAGAAGTGATGAATCAGTCAAAGGAGGAGCACCTAAAGTACATCCCGCCATTGCCGAGCAACTGAAGAGGATTGCAGTCACCAAAACCAGCCTCCTCGAAGTGCATCTCATTCCTTCGTGCAGGTCAACTCTTCCCTGAAATGAAGACGTAAGGCTGGTTGAGGCTTAAATGTGTGCAACATGTAGTGCAATGAACGCCTGTTTCCAAAAGATGACATGTCTGCATCCTGCAATATGCCAGTAATTTCACGAAGTTGTTCTGTATTATGGCTGCAAAGCTCAACCCAGAAATAGCCTTGCGCTTCGCTCACGCTCTTGCACAGCCCCAGTTCGAGACAAGTTCTCACACTGAAGCCTTGATATGAATAAGAATCCCTCATCATGTCGTCCGGGGTGTGGTCGACGGTGGGCTACCGCGCCGAACGGACAAGCCAAATTATCCTAGGTGCTTTGCACTACGAAAAGGAGCTTGCGCTCGGCCTTGCGCGCTTCTACGCGGTGAGGTCCTAAACCTGCATCAAAATATCAAAGTGCACTGCTTGTCTACAGCAAAGAGGAGGGTGTAGAGCAACTCTCACATAGCTGCGGGAGGTTCTCATGTGATGCCAAAGTGTTCATTCTCGCCCCCAGCCCCGCAAAGCCGCGGAAGTTGACACGTTCCGCTTGCGACCATGCGGCTGCTGCAGCCTGATGTCCTCGCCCATCTGAAGCATGCCGAAGTAGAGGGCACCTCATCGGCTGGTTTCATGCTATCTTGCACCTCGCTGACCAAATGGCAGCACTACGCCGAAAGGCGAAAGGCCCTGGACTCGATGATCCTTTGGAAGACGTCGACGTCATGGTCTCTCGATGCCAGGCCCGGCACCGTAGGCGGCCATGACTGAGCCAGGCTGAAACTCGAATCCGGCACCCAGAGGCGCAGCCTGGCTGTGGAGAAAAGGAGGAGTGAGTGAGTGCGTGAGTGAGAGAGTGCGTGCGTCGGTGGGCTGAGTGAAAGGGGAGGAGAGGCCGGGCAGCTGGAACGACGGATTCACAGGGAAACAGTCAGACTGCACACTTGTTTGCTACGTTGCCGGCCAACTTGCTTGATTGCCTGCGTTCGTTTGTGCTCATTTACTTGCTTGTTGTTTACTTGCCGACCTGCAGAAGGCTAGCTCCACAGTTGCTTCATGTTGCTTCCGCCTCAACTTCGGGCATGCCATCTGCATAGGCATCCCACAAGTCCTGACTTCACAGCGCCACGGAGATGGAACGGCGGTGGTTCAGGCCCACGCCCCACACAGGCTCCTTCACGAAGCCGAAGCCGATGCTGTGGTAGTTGTGAGACTGGCGGGGCTTCTGTGAAAGCTAGCCGAGGCGCAACACTGGAAGCGCTAAAGACTCTATAGGTGAAGGCTCTCTGAAAGGTCGGTTGCAGTACTGACCCAGTGTGGCAAGGACACCCAGCGATCTTCCCTGACTCGTGGCTGCCCTTGGAAACACTCGAGTCGGACCAGAAAGCATCACAGGCCTTCAAAAAAACACTTCAACCTCGACATACTTCGCATTTTTTGACCCTGACTTCAAAAAACTCTGCCTCGGCCCCAAAGAGAGTGGAAGTCTTCCACAAAACGGCCCGCAGGCCTGGCTCCACTTGGCCATCTGAAGCGCCCGAATGTCGTCGCGGTCTGCGCCTCATCTTCAGGAGCAATGGGTGGTAGCCTCTGGCACTCCAACTCCTACTCCTTACTGCTCCTACTCCCACCACAACTCTTACTCCTACTACTGCAGCTGCTACTCCCACTCCTCCTCCTGAGGGGCTGATTGCAGCTCTCCCTTCCTGGGCCTCCGTCTCTGCCTCTCTTACAGGAAATAGAAACGGCTCGGTGCGGTAGCTTTTGTGAATCATCCTCCTCATCCTCAACCCCTTTAAACCTGCACACTAAACTTAAACCCTAAACTCAAAAACCCTGAAACATCATCAAGAGCTCGGCACTTGGGCTCCCGGCATTCTTTCACCGACTTGTAGGTCACTCCTCCTTGACCAGGTCCGACGTTCTCGACCCTCGGGAAGTCTGAAATGGTACACCCCCAGCCCAGCTCATGTCGGAAACAACAGAGCATTTGCATTGACCAACTCGTCACCTAGTCCCATGGCTGTCGAAGGTACTTGTCCACTACCAGTAATCCCTAATCTATTTGACTACTTGAGCGACTAAGACGTCTCGCGGCCATGAGCTCTTTCAGTCTTCAATCTTTTTGCCCGCTCTTCTTACCTTAAATATGTGTTTATCTGCAGCGGATTCTGCGTTGCCTTGCGGAGCTCCTACCTCTCTCCTTTAAAACACGGAAGAACTCAAAGCTCATCCAGGCACAGATCATCGATCCAACCGGTCAAGCCGTCAGCATTGTCCATGTCGGAGTTGGTCGGAGGCACGCCATAAACATACCTGGTCATCATTCCAATACGTGCCGTGTACAACTCGAGACTATTCGCTTGACACACTGTAGTTGCAGGGGAGGCCGCTTGCATGGATTCTCGTCGTCCAGATTTTGTGCCTCGGCGTTCATCTTTGCCAGTGTGAACTTGCGCGCCCCGGGAATCGACTCGTCCTGCCGTTGGCAAGTGTGAATTTGGATGCTCAGCTGCCATGAAAGCACGTGCAACTTACAGTGCACGAGAAAGAGAGAGAGAGAGAGAGAGAGAGAGAGAGACAAAATGAGAGGCCACTCAGCGAAGCGCCCAAGCGTGGTAACGCGACATTCCAAACTCCCAGAACAAATGGCGGCTTCGGGTTTGACAGCAGGCTAAATCATAATAGCAGCTCTAGCAGACTCCAGCACTCTATAATGCGTCGGTTCCACGCCCACAACAGAACTACACTCGAGGCTATACTTGTCATCCCAGTTTACGCACCAGGCTTGCTGAATGCTTCTCGCAGAAACAGGGCTTCAAAACCACAGCCCCAAGCAGTGCCGTGCAGCTCCTTGCACTCTGGCAAATACTCCGGGTCGGAGGCGCCGAACCTTTCAAGGGAGCTCCAGGACTAGATCGGACGTTCGGGCTCAGTACGGCGCGGAGGCAGAAGCGGATACGTTAACGTCGTGCTGTAGACGTGGAGAACCCTAGGCCTGCACGCAACAAGTGGTGGAAGCAACCCGAGACTGTTTATCCTTGACTCCCTGAACACGAAAGCCAAGTTGTTAGAAGTTCCAAGGATGTTCATGCCTTTGAGGGCGTGGTGCAGGATGCCTTCTGCCCTTGAACAGAGACCGTGGCACAGTCAGAGTGAGCCCAGGCGCTTAATGAGCGGAGGGGGTTTGCGCTTCGTTCTCGACACCTGCTTCGCGCCACGAGCCTGCCGGGCAGCTTGGAGCCAGCGCTCTTTGGCGTTTCTCGAGATTCCCCGGACTTCTGGAACTTTGAGCCGGTACGAAAGGGAACACAGGAGCCACCAAACATTGGAGGCGGTTTCCGAACCCGACAAGACGGTACATGAAAACGCAGAAAAGCCAATCAAACCTTCCTTGACTTTATCCCGAAATAAGATGGAAGCGACAAATCCCGAAAAGAGCGCTGTAATGGCTAGCAGCTAGCAACTCCTGCATTACACACTGCCAGGATGGTGGGAAATAGACCCGCGCATCCCAAACGAGTATGGAACATGTCGGAACGCTACCAGGAGAGCAAAAGGTTGAGCAGCAAGAGGGAATTGTAAACCTAGAGCCGAGAATGGCTGAAGTACCCTGGCATGACATGATGGGTAGCACAGCCCAAGTCAAAACAGCGTGTCCAACTGAAAGTAACCCTTCAAGAGCTGATGGGACGCGAAACATCTCGGGTCTTGTGACACCTACACGCGACATCCAACGAGGTCCACTACCATCGGTGATCTCGACTCGACTGGCTCTCCCTGGAACACACCTCGAAGATGGCGTCGAAGTCGCTGACGGGCACGACATACCTGAGCAAAGCTCAGATTGCAGCAAGACAGAACCCAGACATGCTTGCCGGACATCACTTTGCAATGCCCGGTCACCAATCGTCGGTGTGCAATTGGGTATCCAAGGGATGGACAACCTCAGGAGCAGATCATGACTAGCTTCCCGCGTCCACAAGGATGAAGCCTGGCGATCTCCCCTCCTATCATGACCACACTCTCAAATACCTCCCCCAAAGATCTCTACAGTCCGGGCGGCATCCGACTGGGCACAGCCCTTGCCAGATACACACCATTTGCCGAGGTTCTTGTCCTCGGTGCCGACAGTGAGAAGGCTTGCGAGGAACCAGCCAAACGAGCTTCAAGCACAAAGAATCGACAATGCAGGGCCAAGGCTCGTAAGTCAAAGAGCCCGACGCAGTTTGCCCTGGCTTGAAACTCCTCCGTGCAATGATGCCTACTGCAGACCAGTTCATACGAAAGCCGCAAACTGCTGGCCTCCGCTGCGCAAAATCCAACCGGCCACTGTCGTCACTGCCACTCGGGCAGTAAACACCTGAAGGTGAGGGCGTCTGTGTACTGTAGATGTGCGACTGGGTGGGCACTCTACAGCAATTGTAGCGCTTCTGCTGCCCTTTGCGGCATTTGCCTTCCCAGGCTTCTGCCATGTCCGTGTCGAAGTCCCGCTTGTCATCGGCAATCATCAGAGGATAAATGGACACCGGCACGCGGCTGATCTGACAGCATTCCTGACGGGCAGGTCTCTGAAGGTGCTCCTCATGGCTCATGCCGCAAACTACGGGAAGAAGCCCTCCCAACATGAAAGGGGGCTACTCTTGGAAACATAAGAAGCTACATGCACAGTGGAGGAGTTGGAAAACTGCCGTGATATTTCGCCAGGCAACGTACTTGAAACGGATCCAAGCACCTGAGGCTGGAAGGTTTCGTTCACTCGACTCATTCAAGCAATCCTTCAAGCAATCTGTCAATCCCTGAATCAATCCAACCATCAACCAACACTGCAAAATCCAGCGATATGCACACGGCCAACAAAACCCCCCCCACTGGCCTTTGTCCGAAGCCTCGGTCTCCAAAGTCTTCAGACCCTCACCGGGTGGGCAGAAGGCGCCGAGCTCGCGCAAGGCCTGCCATCTGTCACTTTAGGAAGGGCACACTGAGGGGCACCATTTTCGGTTGAAGGCAGCCTACATCTCAACAGGAAGATGTAGCACTGTATGAGGAAGAAAGGTAGACACGGGCACGGTAGAAGCACGAAGACCACAAGTAGAAAGAACAAAAGAAGAGAAGAAAGAACTTCACGAGTAGAAGAGACGGTCTTGTCAGGCGCATCTCTTTACGGCTGAGACATGCATCGTGGTTCGCATTCTTGTCGGTACTGGAAAGTCCTAGGCCTCCAGGCCAAGGCCAATAAGGCTTGGTCGGACAGGCCTCTCGAAAAGACGCCGCTTCTCGTACTTGACACAAGCCATTGGTCATCGGAGCCGGAGGGTGAGGTCGAGAGGCACGGCAAGTCGCAGCAACAGCAGCAATGCGCGCTTGCAGGAAGATTCGTAGCGTGCTGGCTTAGTGTCGTCCGAAGCATAGTCAATATCGGAAGTCGACATTCAGACCTGCCTATGCCATCCTACACATTACAAGACGATGTGTCCACACACATAACGTACATCTTCAAACTGCGCTTCCCATATTCCGGTGGACAGCCAACATTGGCGATGTTTGGCTTTCGAGCACCTTGATGGTCTCGAGCTCGTGCGTCTTGGTCTCAACTTGCGTGGAGTAGTGTGGGGAACACATTCCTTAGTCTGTTCGATGGCATGCTGAGCTGTGCAATATGTGTAGTCTGGTTTAGGGCGAGGTAGTCCAAGGCTGCGGATTCCCGCAAAAAAACTGTCTGCCTCAGAAGAACAGAAGCCAACAACCAAACCTATCAACTATTCAATGATGCTGGGGGGCCTCTGTTACCGGTATTTCTCGCACTCGACCTACGTCTGTGAATTTCGAGTGCTCTGTCATTGCCGAAAGCTAATCTGTTCCAACAGCACTTTAATCGCAACATTGCACATGTCATCCTTGTTCAGGATACATCCAGCGACAGGTTTAGCAATGCACAATCGCTATACCTTGTGTGCATGCAGCATTGGTAACTGGTAGAAGCAGCAGCAGCAGCAGCAGGACTTCAGAACTCGTGAAGGCGCGGCCAGAGCCACAGCAGGTTTCACTGAAACTGTTTCTGTTTACGCGGTGCTGCAATCCCTTGTGCCTCCATGCCTCAGTGATTCCCTTCACAACTTGGCAGAGGCTCCCAAAGACGAGACGTGACTGCACTTGTACTGCACCTGCCCATGCGTCTTCTGCAAGTAGCTGATGACCTCGAATCTCACGCTCTCACGCTCTAGACGTGCGGTGTCTTGTCAAAGCCGAGAGGCTTGGTCGCCAGGACAAGTTATTGGTGCATCGACAAATCCAGGCAGTCCATGAGAAATGGTCCAGTCTTGCTCGATGCCTCAGCCGCGATGGAACAAGAATTTGCACAGGAGATCAAGGGAGGGCAGGCGAAGCGATGAGATCGGCTTGACAAAGCACATTCGCACCTCTTCACCACGATGCGAACACGCCAAGGTTCTCCTCTGCCAAGACACGCTGTGTGCAGTCCATTTCGTCGACGCGTCCACGGCCACGTGCTTCCAGGCACTTGTTGTTGGCGACGTTTTTTATCTTCCTGGACTGATGCAGCAGGATGGAACGGGCAGCACGTGCGCTCACAGCCCGGAAGCAGTGCATCCGAGGGGCCTGGTATCGGAATCATACATGAACCTCTCGCTGAGCGTGTGGGCGCCCGCCCTGAGGCAGAAGGTCATACCTCGATCCTCTCCGCCTTCTATAAGCTCAAAAACACTCTAGGGATTGAACCACACCTCGAGCTTTCCGACAGGGATCAAGAGCAGAGACTTCTCTCATGGCTGTTCCTTCCTCCGACTTTGCCGGGTATGTTGATGTCTTTGCCGCGAGTCATGACCAACACATGAAGCCCGCCTCAAACGAAACCTAGCATTGCTCCCATCCGGCTCGACGGTGATTTGCTGTCCAGCATCTTCCTGGGACGCTGCGATGGCGTCATTTTTGTGAAGAGCACATGCTGTCCTTCTCAAACTTCCGCAACAGGGAGGCCCGAAGAAGCCCGACAGCACACTTGCCTAAAAAAACAGATGTATTGCCAAAACAGGACCTCCAATGCATCAGAAAGGAGCGATGCAGTCGAGGTGGAGAGCCGTGATGAAGGCTTCTGAGGATACCTCCTGACGGGCCTTAGCTGAAGTCAGGATCCCCAGGAGGCCGAGATAAGCGGAGGCTTTAAGAAGATGCTGCAAGGCTTCAAGGCTTCAAGACTTTAACTACTCACCCATTATCGTGTTATTTCGGCGGGGCTCGAACTGCTGGTTGTCGTTGAAGTGGCAATCTCCCATGTAAAGGTTGTCGCTGCTGCCCTTGTCCAGGCAACGGTGGTCATATTCGCTTCGAATGGCTGATGTGTCTTCGTCGAAATACCACTTCTGGTTTGCACCATCGTGGCATTCGTGCATGTAGACGTTGTCGGTGCTTGTGTGGGCGTCCAAGCACTTGTTGTCCACCATTGATAGAATGTTGCCATCCAGCATGTACCATTGCTGGTTGTTGTTCGTGTGGCAAGGATGTATGTAGACATTGTTCCTCAGAGTGGATTGGCACAGAGTACAGACAACAAACTCACAAAGAACTCGCATCATCGTAACCGCAAACAGCTGGTCTAAGAGAAGCAAAAAACGTTCCGGTGCCTGCATCGTCTCAAGTCCCACTCCGGCCAACAACCTGCAGAGGACACGAAGCGCCGACGAGCCTCGATCCACCCTGGTGGTAGTCCATGCACCGGCCGTCTTGCGCAATAACGAGGTTCCATGGAACAATTTCATTGATACCTCAGGCAGCACTCCACTCGATCCATTGACGACTCCCGGAACATGACATCCCCGAATATACTGCAGAAGTACACGGTAATCTGTAATTCAGGTCTCTCTGTGGAAAAGGCTCTGGAGGGACTTTGCCAGGATCCTCCTTCTCTGAATTGAATTCTTCACTGCAGCTGTGTCGCTCATGCAAGTTCCTTCGCTCACGCTAGTGATCTGGACGTCGCCGGGCACGGCAATGGTCTAAGCGCGTCAGGAAAACTCAGGGACATTCCCTGATGCCTAGCCGCGCCCTGATTGCTTGAACGCCCCATCAACCATTGGCACAGCCTGCTCTCATGCAGTGGCAAAAGTGAACAGAAGCCAAGTAGGCCAAGGGGCATGCTGGACCGCGGCACCGTAGGTGCTGGCTGCAGTGCAGCTGGCAGACCTGGCCCAAAGCAAAACCACCCCCAAAAACCACCTCGGAAGCACGCCTCCACCAGTGCACACCAAGAGGCATTCCCAGCAGACTGTTGTGGCTGAGCTGTACGGATGACTCGGCTTTCGGATTTCGGGTCACAGAGGCATGCAAGGGTTACACCAGTCCAAAACCTCCTCCGAGGTGCCATGACATGTGGCGAGCAATCCTTGTCTACATTGAAACTCCGCAGAGTAGTCGGGGCCGTGCCTTAGCAATGTCTTGGCTTTGGCTATTAGGGACAGAAGTACGATCGGGACAGCAAGCCGCCGTTCGGATGGAAGATGTGTGGAGCATCATTTGGATCGCATGCATCGCAGACCCCCTTTTTAAGACAAGGCTCCGCGATTGTAGAGGCCTGATCCAGAAGCTGCCGGCACGTCGGCACCAGCTTGAAACCTGACACCCAAGCTCTGTGCAGGCGCGGCGCAAAGTGCTCCGGCGAGGTTGCAACGATTTTCGCTTCAGGCTGCGGGGATGCAAGCAGGGGCGCGTTGTGTGGGAGGGTCCTGCTGCGTGGGAAGGCTTTGGGGTTCGGATTGGATCCTGGCGAGCCGCTCGTCCCAGAGGAGGGAGCCCAGCTCCCCTGCCTCGAGCATCTCGTCCTCGGGTCAGGAGATGCTCGGCTTCGGCAATTCAGTTTAGGATTCAGGTCTTCACCCGAGCCGTCTCATTCGCTGCCGTGCCACTGCCTCAGCCTCTGCAGCACAGTCTGCGGAAGAGAGCTGGAGATTCAACGCTCTCAGGCACTTGCCTTATCAGGACATGGGGCTATCGGGCAAGAAGTGGAAGCTGACATCGAGGGATTCACGTTCCGGGACCGGGGTGCTGCTGTGTTTTGCAGTCTCAAGATGTAGTATCGGATCGACAGGGGGCGGGGTGCTTGAGACAATCAACTCCATCGAAGGCGGAATACAAACAAAAGCTACGACGAGCATGCCGTGCATGTGGGCTGAACATGTACATTCAGGCAGCCAAGGCACCTTCTTCGGACAACGACCTGACGGCAGCTGGCGAACAGCTGAGGTACGGTTTCCCTCTCGCTTCTGCGGCCATAAGTTCAAGTTGTGCCTGTAACGGCGTGCGGTTTCGGCAGCGTTCGGCATAAGTTCAGCCACGAAGACGTCAGCCGTGCCACCTGCGGGTCTGCTCTGCTGGGTCTGCTTATGGGTATCCTGCGGCCTGTCCTCTATGCCATCTTCTGCTGAGTCCGAAGGCTGACGCCACGAAGCTCAAGCGACATGTCGGGCTTGCACTCAGAAATTCTCTGGCGACAAGACTGCTTGACACCTGTTTAGTGCCGACAAAACTACTCTTCAAGATGTTTGCGAAGCCTCGCAAGCTTCCCAACGGTGAAACCGGGGAAGATCGGTCCCTCACACTTCTGACACATCGGGTTCGGCCTTGCTGCAGGCTCCCCGAAGCAGTCACCGTTCGCGGTGTGCGGGTGTCCACGGAGAGCACCAACTTCATGCCGCTGGCAAAGAAAAGCTCCTGCTTCGGCAGTAAAGTAACGAAGTCACAAAATGAGAACCTCTGGACCACCAGCTCCTGCCGAATCTGAGAATCGAGGTCTGCGTACACTTTGGAGACGACTTGCACGCACGCGCTGCAGGTGAAGCCGTCGAGGCCTGGCCGCAGGGAAGGCTCTTTCAGAAGCCCATATAGCCCCAAGAAAAAGCGTGACGAAAATCCCGATTCACGAAGAGAAAGCAGCCGTGGGGCATTGGGACCGAGGCAGGATGTGGCTCGGGCGAGCAAATTCGAACAGCAACCTCCTCCTAGCCGCATGCTCGCCTGGGGTATTCCAGGAGTTGACCCAAGCCCCTGCCACGCAGGACATGGTCCTGGAGTGCGCCTTGTCAAATTAGATTCTCCAGCTGACAGCTGCTCGTAATGAATGTAAGTGCGAGTGTCTAATGCGGGCCGTGGAGCAGCGTTCAGCGTTCCGGCTGTAAACCGTTCGGACCAGCCTGGTGGCGAGGGCTCCAAAACCGGGAATGACCCACTGAGGTCCTTTTCGGCTCCTACCATGAAGTTCCCTGCATCCCTCGCTGCAGCAATTCCGAAGCCGAAACCCGAAATCGTAAACTTTGAACCTGAAACCTGACCCACACCAAGGGACATTTGGCTTCGAGGCTTTGTCCATGGACGAACGAAGAGGGCAGCGGCGTCTTCTTCAAAGCCTGGTACCCGAAAGGTCAGGCAGCAATCAGAACCACAGCCCGTCACTGCAGCAAGGATGCCACAGTGCCGATCATGGAAATTGCTACCGCTGAAACACCAAGAAAAAACGATTGTCTTTGCTGCATGATGGCAGTGGTCGTGGACTGCGTGATTAGACGATGACGACTTGCGACGACGAGGAGGAGGAGGACGACGACGACGACGACGAGGATGAGGACGACGACGACAACCACAAGCAGAAGAATAAGCGGAAGAAGATAAATGAACAATAAGGACAACAATAACAAGAACAAAAACAAGACCAAGAACAACACACAAGAATAAAAACAACAACAACAAAATGGAATATGATGAAATGACCCACACCGCTGCAGCAGCAACACCACCATCAGCATCGCGATCATGCCTATTCCCATCATCAGGGCCTTGTGAGAGTACCGCTGATTTCAAGCTCCGACATGCTTTGTGGAAGGTGTCTGCCAGCCTCAACTATCCTCTTCAGACAAAGGACCAGTTGCGATGCAAACTGCCACTGGTGGTTGGTTTGATCCGGGCAGGTGCCGCTGAAGATGTTGCCGCTTTGCACTTCATACTCCTGGATTTCTGGAGCATGCTGACCCACATGAGCTTCCAACATGCGCAAGCCACAAGCAGATTCCCTCATGCGACATGAGCCACTGCATGTTGTGCTGCTGCTTTGGGTGTCAGAGTCCACCTTCACTGGCGGGGATCACCTGAAAATGCAGACCAAGGATCCAGGCATCGGTTGAAGTGACGATCGCGCAAGTTGTCGCCGTCGAAATAAAACTTCTGGTCGTTGTTAGAGTGGCAGTTCGACATGTGTATGTTACCACTCCCCCCATTCAGGTCCATGCACTTGTGGTCGAACTCTGTCTTCAGGTTCTCCCCACTGAAGTACCACATCCTTTGCTCCACACTGCGAGGACGCTGCAATAAGCCCACTATTCTACCTCTACCAGGCTGCAACTCCACGCACTATAAACTTTTGGGAGGAGGTTGATCAGGCCTTCTCGAGCCCAGCATCTGCTGCCGCAGAGCTGCACACCCAACCGCTTGCACCGTGCTGCCACTGTCTGTTCTGCTCAAGCACCGCCCGTTTCCGACTGTGAGCTGCACACTGTTCTGGAGCAGGTTGTGAAAAGCGAACTTCACGGTGTCCGAGTCCGGACAGCTTCCCATGAAGGCCGTGTTGTTGCTGGGCTGCACCTTAGCACTAGCTTCCCAAAAAATGCAATGTCGAAATCAAACGACAAATGTGGAAACGGGAAGCCAAAGATTCCCGAAATTTGCACACATAACCTGAGTCCAAGCTTCATCCAAGCAATCGTCCTGCCATTTGCTTTTCAGATGACCGCCAGAAAAGTACCATTTTTGATTCGGATGCCCGTTGCAATTGTTGTGAACCCGCCTTGGTGATTTCTGCTCCGTGCAAGAAGCAAAGCTGCCCCTGTTGGTGTTGAGTTTCCACCAAGCGGCACGATGTTTTTCCACGAGTCCAGGCACCTTAGCAGATTCGAAGAGGCCAGAAACACTGCACTTTTTTTGCGCGGCCTTGCGATCTTGCTCCCAAAGGGCAGCCGAGAAACCCATCGATGTACTCGGATTTGATCGCTTCCCCATCCATGTAGAAGCCTCAGGTCAACAGGGGACACGGGCTCTGAGGCAGGAGTTCCCAACTTGCAGTTTGGTGGCGTTGGTTCGCCCCCTCGGTGCAAGTGGACCTTGAATTCCGGAATCAATCCATCGCATGCAAAGCAAGAGCCAGCTCCTTCAACCCAAATCGGCCCAATCCACCTCTATCAAAGGGCCTGCAGCACCTAAGCAACTTAAACACTGCCTCCATCCTATCAATTGAGTCGCGGCACCAGTAAGCTTGTCTGTTGCTGCCGATCTGCAGGCACTTGCCGTCGCTACCTCGGACACTTCGCACAGGACCCGTAGGGATGCAAACCAGAAAAGCGACATCAAAGCTTGCGTGGTTCAAGGTCTGTCGAGAAGGCAGCATAAGATCATCTTCCTGTCCTTCCCAACCTTCATCATCGACAAAGTCATCATACTCATCATCGTCAGCAGTCTGGACACCATCTTCGTCATCGTCATGGGCATCTAAACTGAAATCACCCCCACGTCAAACCTTCATCTTCGTAAGATTTTGTAAGCACTGCTATCAAAGGCCGACTCATCCTGACGGTCCTCATCACCACCGTGTTGGCTGTCAGAAGTATACAATTCTATTTATGACCTCTTAGATTCTTCACCCGTCATCAATGACACCAGAACAACGGCATTTGTGTTCACCTGGCACTGGAGCCTTACCAAAAAAGCAAACTCCCTGTCGTTTTGACCATCATGTTTGTGATCATCACCTTCTTCGTCCTCGACACTATCTCCAGCATCCTCATCATCGTGGTACGGAAATTCAAGCTCAAGCCCCGCACACTTCCGTCTCTGCTCAGGCACGGATCGTCCGTCCGATCTCCACCGATTCAAAGTAAAACTTTTGGTTATCTCCACCGTGGCAATTGTTGCTGTAGACCTGGGTAGCTTAGGAAACACAGTCTCAGCTGACCAAAACGAACCTGCATCACATGATCGGCGAATATTCCTAACTCTGCTGTCGACCCAGATACACAGGCATCTTTTCACTTCAAAGGCCACGGCCAAAACACAAGTAAGCTCAGCGATGGTGTATCTTTCTCCAAGGCACTGCCCGGCTGCTGGACACATCTATGCACTTTCCACTGGACTCTACCTTGCTGGCTGAAGCGTGAGAGTCACAGAATGAGGCTTTGGAACTTCCCTCCCTGCACAGCAGTGACTGCAAGGGAAGCTTGACTGAAACTTGAGCCCGAAGAAGTAGTAGTCGCGACTAGCTCACAGCCACGCGTATTCACGGACATGGCTATGTTGAAGAACAATCAGCTATGTGCCTGTACAAGGCAGTATCAGCAGAGGCACCTTCAATCGTTCACCATCCCACTTCCATTTCTGGCCATCCCAGGTGTCGTGGCATCCCCACATCTTCAATGCCTCGGCAGCGCAAACAATTCATGAACAAATCAAACTGCTGACAGGGGGTGAGAGTAGGATACATGAACGTTCTTTTCCAATATAGCTGGAGCTCATCGTCACCAAAGCGCTCCAAGCATCGACCGTTGTCGTGCTGTGACTTCAACCTCTTGTCTCGTCGCCACAAGCCCGCAACTCAAGAAGAAGCAAAGCATGATTCAGGACTTTGCAGAAGGAACTGGAGAGTGGAGAGTGTTCGCATCGCAGAGGGGCGGAGGCTGTCATGCCTGTTGAATGGAAGCCGATGTGTCTATGCAGACCCAGCAGCTGTGGTCCGTCAAAGAAGAAGAGCTGCCTGTCGTTGTTCGCATCACAGGCAGTCATCGTGAGGGTCGCCTTGTTGGTCCCCATCTCCAAACCTTCTGCAAGCTTGTCATGGACCATTCATGAACATCGCCGCCCTACACAACCCCGCAGCTCCGGCCGACTCCCAGCTCTGTAAGACCTCACATGAAGGATGCGGCCTCAGAAAGCTGCCGAGGAGCACTCTCCGTACTTACGATCCTTCAGCGGCATGGGGACCTGATATGCTGTTCGTCTGTCGCCATGCTGCAAAGCACACTTCATTGCTTGTGTTTCTGCCTGACCACAACCGCCCGCCACGTCGACATCGACTGCGAAGTCTGTGTCTACGTCTGTGTCTATGTCTGTGTCTACCTGTCTATCTCTCTGTCTTTTTCTCTTCGTCGTGATATTGGTGCCGCCTTGAAGTTGAACCGCTGGTTGGGACCACCATGGCAGCTGTGCATGTAGACATCCTAAGCCCACACGATGCGGTGCAGCAAGGAAGGCTCACCCAGTCGCTGCTTCAGCAATCTTAGAACGCTGCAGGGTTTGTTGTTAAATGGCACATCTCACGACTCGTGCCAATCAAGTGGTACTGCCATGGCTGACATGTTCGCCGTCGGCACTGGTAACAGCTGTGCATGCGAATTGCTAAACTGCTAAACATCGCATCGAAATGGGACTGAAGCGATATCATGCGATTGCTTGCAGCACTAGGTCCTGTGTTCGGCTGTATTCCTTCCAGCGGTGCCCCGCAAAGCATACATCGACGCAAAAATCAGATGTGTCTCCATTGTCAGAAAGGGCTCGTTGTTCGCATCACTATAGTCCAGGCACTTAGCATTTCCCCACTTCTCGTTCTTGATCCTGAGCTGCAATTCGGCGCTCGCTATTCAAAAAGGAGATCTTTTGTTGACCAAACTAGGGTGCGCTGCAAAAACGTATACCCCTGTAATCTTGTTTATGGTTGCAAACTGCTGGCGGAATCTTAACTACTTACAACAATCCCTGAAATTCGAGGAGGCACTCGTGTTGCACCATGTAGAACTGCTGGTTGGTGTGCCCGTGGCAGGTGTTCCCGTAAACTATGCCGTTCCCGGACTCCTGGGAAAACACCGGAATGACGAGCTTTGGAACGAATGTCGGCTTCCGAAATTACAACGCCGACAATGCTAGCACATCCTACTGCTTGGACTCGGGCACCTGCGGCGGGTACATTGATTGCAGACAAGCTGGTGCAACTATGATTCTACACAAAGCACTGCAAGCAAACTTTTTCAACTACGGAGGTCAACGCGGCTTCTTCAACTACGATACAAAAGACACGGGAATTCCGCACCCGTCTTGTCTCTGTTGCTAACGTGAAACAAATCTGATGTCTTGCTGCGCTTGGCCAATGTGACGGCATGCATCGAGCTGTGATTCCAGTGCATTCTCTTAATTAGGCTGTGGCCTCATTGGACGCTTGGTGCTCCTCCGAACTATGCCGGGACTCGACGGATGAAACGTCTGTGGTCGGCAACTCGGAAGTCGACCCATCCGGTGCTCGTTCCAACACTGTAACTACGTTCGTGCGGATAATCTCGTTCAGCAAATGAGGTTTCATCGACTTCGTGAGGCAATCCGCTAACTGCAGGTGTGTAGCTATCCATCTGAGTACGTCACCGTAAAGTGCGGATGCTCGGTGACAAAGCACGTCGTCTTCCCACAACGTTTGGCGCAATGCGGAAGGTTCTATGCTCAACCGTTTGTCTTCGACTTGCTTCCGGATGGGCCATAGTAAATGGTCGGTCAGGCTCCTGCAGTCACTATACTGAACATGCAGCATGCTTCGCCTAGCCACTTCCTCCCGCTGGCTCCATGATCTCAAGCACTCGCTCGGAGTCTATCTCCATGCCCCATGGCACGCTGTAAAGAATATGTCTCTCATTGTAATGTCGCACGACAGACACGTCTCATGGTCGCAGAACCAGACGACAGAAGATGCAAATAGTGCGGTAGCCAAAAATGCTGCATCTCCCTCCTGAAAATTCTCTTCAGGGCTGGTCTCCCAAATCGCTGTCTCCGTAGTCGCGCTGGGTCGATTCGGCGCACAACATCGCTACGCGATGAGACTCATCATTAGCCCCGGAAATTACTCCTTCCACAATTGACTGTGACAACCTTCAATCTCCAGCAAAGCCTTGATGCCACCTCTAGTGCGGTTGCCCAACTCGGGACAGCGCATGTAAGAGATACCATTGGCAGAACACAAGCGAGCGACATTTTCTCTACAAAAGTGCGGGTATCGGGTGCTCACCGGGTTGCTCTGAACGTCGACTACCTCCTTAATTCTGTGATCAAGTAGCCTTTGCACGACAGATTGAGCTGATATACTGGAGTGTCCGAGTGTATATATCCCGCTGCCTGGTTTAATCTCTGTACCTCCCGACATGCCGGGTGCCCTCGACGCACCTGTTGATGGTTCTTGAAACTCAGCGCCGTTGCATGTCGCATAGGTAGGAAGATTAAATCTTGAAAGCAGGGTTGTATCCTGAGCAGTCAGTTTGCCCAAAACTTTCATTGCGAATCCTGAGATACTAAATCTCTCACTTGTGAATGTTAGAACTAGTGGATTCGGGTCAAACTTGAATACGTGGTTCTTGGCGTCGTACACCGTGCCAAGCATCTTTGCCTCGACTTCAACTGCATATCGGTAGTTCCTTGATAATCTTCGACCACAATCCACCCTGTTCAAAGTCTCCTACGCTTATAGCATTGTTGAATGTGCCCGGCTTGCTGGACGTATCCTTATGTGGCCCCGCGCCTTGATTGGTAACTTGGACACTGGTCCACTGGGCATCGTGACAACCTGCATCATCACAGCGGTCCTTCAGAAACTCATTTATATAATGAGTTAGCATTGGACGGGCCTACGTTTCGTTACTGACCCCGACCTGGCCTCCATTGCGATATACGCCAAGGGTGCTTGCTAAGATGCCTGGGTTTTCTCTGCTAAAGAAGGGTCTTTTATACCATGTTGGCATTTTGCGTATACTCGTAACAGCTGAAGACACGCATCCTGGCGGAAGATCCGATCCTCAAGGAGTCCTGCCATCTCTTCTCCTGGGTCGCTCGGTACGTAGCCTTCAGATTACTGCTGTCACACCGGTCAAACCCTCCCCTGGCGTCGCCGGCGGCGTAACCGGATACACACCTCGTTCATCCGCGAACCTGTGCTCAGGCCCTTTCACAACAGTACCGGTTCTCCTGTGAGCAGCAACTTCTCTATCTTATTTGCAGGCCTTTTTTTTTCAGGCATTCACGAGAACAGGTACAGTCTCACGAAGCAACCTATACGCGTTCTCTGCCTTGTGATGTACGACGCGGCTAACTGTAGACCAGACTGTAGCTGTAGAGCCAGGGACGTTATCCCGTCCATAAATGACCAGATCGCCAACGTTATAGTCGGCATCAATAGGCGCGGCATTCCTTGAAAGCCCTTTAGCTACCTCGCATGATGTGTCCAAACGTTGAAGTGCCTTTCTTGCCTCCATTCGAGCTTTGTGTCGCAAATAATACGAACTTGTCTCATCATACCGAGCTTGATGCGGGGGCTCTGGGTTGCTTCCCTAGCACATGTTGCGCTGGGCTAAAACCTTGGTGTCGTGACAATTCAGTCTTGGTAGTGACACACTCAGATAACAGTGGCTCCATCTCCTCAACACTGGAGGGTTGAGATTCTTAAATTTATTAAACTGTCTTGCGCAACAGTGCTGTAATAACGCCGCCATGCCGTTCCACCTTCCCAGTTGCTTGCGGTGACTCCAGCCGTGCGTTACGACGGCGTACGCCATGCTGAGCTCGATGTTGAGCAAGTTCGCCCTTGAAATGGGTGCCACGACCAGTAACTATGTTACTGGGATACCTTGCCCAGGAGATCCACCCTTCCGTTAAAGCATTGGCGGGCACTAGGAATACCACCACCAGTTTTGACGATTGCTACCTCCTGGAAACTCATACCTACGTCAACTATGTTGACGTTTGTGTAGCGATTGCCGGAATAGTCATTTACTTCCAAGCAGTCCACACGATTAAAATCTCGCGGATGCAGGGAGTCTCCCGAAACTGGCCGGCGTCTGGCACTGGAGCGGTCACCAAGCAGATTTTGCTATTGTGGAGCTGAGCTGCTTTGATGAACTCCTTAGAATCCATTGCTTGTCTAAGGACTAAAGCTGCTCCGGAATATGTCCGAAGGCTCTGTCACTCTGATGGCGCCTGATAGCCACCCGTGTGCGCTGTGGCAGGGCTCTCCACGCTGCTCGACGTTCAGCCTCAGTGGCTGGCGTACCGAGAAAGGACATACTCTCCAAAATCAATTGCTCCCTTTCCTCAAAGGGAAAAGACTCCACTTCCATCATCATCGGCACTTGGCTCCCGGGTCATGTCAACATCCGAGATTAACTCTTCCTCCTCCTCAGGATCGGTGTCCTCACCAACAAAATATGTGCTTGTGAAAAGTTTGAGGTACATGTTCTCTGAAACATCATTGCAAACTCGCCAAAAATCAGCACCACTGGTATCATGAAAACATCGCGGGCTCCAGCCATAGCTTTCAGCCCACGCGTGCATCACAGCTTGCGCGTCACCAATCTTCGGGCCTATCCCCGAGATACACAAAACGCCCCTCAGTTCAAGATTTTCCTCTAACGTGGGACATCCGAGGGGAATGACAAGAACTATGGGAACCCCCACTGACACACTCCAACTCAACACACAGCCCCACGGTGGGAGCTGACAACCTCACCACAACTAGGCCCGGCGGCCCTGTTGCGCGGTTCGCGATGGACTCGTAGCTGGCCCGCGCGGATGGGGTGTCTGCATTCCACTCACAGGGGACAGTGTGGCTTACTGCACGTGTAAGCGATGAGATGCTAGACTTCAAGCAATGCTGCATTATAAGCAACGCACGCTTCGCAACACATGGTCGCCTTCTGCAGAGCCCCAGAGCGGCTGTTAGGACTCAGGCTTGTTGTTGTGTTGGAGGCATGGGCACTGACTGAAGCAGGCTTCCCCTCAACGCTTACACTATAGTTAGGCAACTAGTACCCACTCTTCATAACTATCCTGGCACTCCACCGAAAATAACTTCTTTATTCTGAAAGGCCGGGAACCCTGCGCGCAGCACCATATATCCGGACGCATCTGTGGTGTCCAAGGACTTCAACAGCTCATCGCTGTCATCTAGATCCGTCGGAACGGTGTCCGAGGCTTTCAACTGGTACGGTACTGCCCAAGTACCACGTAAACTTCTCTGCCGTCAGCTGGCGCTGACGGGCATTCTCGGTCAGGCGAGGTTTCTCCGGGCGTCGATGACTCGGGCGTGCCACATGGGCGGACAGTGCCTTCGTAGGACCATGGGACCGTTATGGCTGTAAAGCTGGCCTATAGGATATTATATCTTTCAGCTTGCCGCAAGGTTTTTACCCTTCGCGCGCGGACGGGGTGACGGTGGACGCCTTAATGATGTGCCTCTCGCACAACTCGTGGTGTGCCCGATCACCTGCTCTAAACTTGCTTGGGGCACATGGCCCCATCAAAACGCTGGTGCTTTATCGAAACACTATAGATCTGGGTCAAGGCGCGCCATCCGGGAAGGCACCGAAGTCGACGCGGCTGTGCCATCCGAGAGGTATGCCGGACGTCAGCTCGACCCCTGTGACACGGATCTCCCTAAGAACCAGCTCGACGTCGATGATCTTGCCTTTAGGGTTATTTCATCCTACATTCCCTCCAGTCCGAATCGTGCCAAAAAGCGCCAAAGTAATCTCTGGCTTCTCGCCCAGTAAGCGGGTGGCTTTGGTGCAGGAGCCGAAGCCTTAGAGGAGTTACCTTAAAATCGGCATTCCGCATCTCCGGCCCGACGGCCTACTGCGCCGCAGCGCGAGCATCGACTTCGAGACTTGAGCTCGGCAAGCTTCGCCTTTGTATCCGCGTTGGTAAGATTGGACCTGGTGACTTTCCCACCAGTCTTGCCTTTATATCCTTACCCTTGCCTTTGCTCTCACCCTTTGCCCGATTGAGCGTGTTCGTAGCTGCGTAAGCTAGCTGAACCGCTTCTGCGTCTGCTTCTCCAAGCACATCCTCCTGGCGGCGTAAGCATTAAGCTGCATCGCTTCATCTTCCTCCTCGATCCAAACGTTGCCTTCGTCAGCTAATCCTGACGGCGTTATAGCCGCGTGTGCATCGTGTTCTTTTTCTGGTGGTATATCCTGCTCAACATCGGCGTCCTCTTCGCCGTAGCCCTAGCCAATGTAGCCGTACTTCGGGGCTGCATTCTGCCGTCGCGCCACCCAGGGCTTATACCCTGGTCCGTGGGGTTGTGACTTCTCTGTGAGAAGCCTCCCTTTCATGTGCACCACGGAAAGGTGCTGCACAAGGACCCTTTCGTACTCGTCGATGGTGTGTGCTCGAGCAGCAGTTTTAATCATGAGCTGTTCTGTTGGCTCAAACCAGACAACTCAACGAGCAAGTTAGCTCGCATGGCCTCCGACTGTCGAACGTAGGGTCCAATTCCTGCAGGTCCAACGTTTTCTGCGTGTTATATACGAAAGCATTGGTGCTCGCTGCTGTTTCGGTAAGGGCCCGGCGATCAACTGCCTTTGTCTAAATAATGCAGCAGCCTCCTGCGACTGCAGGGGAAAAGCTTGTTCACGGATTTCCTCTATCAGATGGTCTATGCCATCTGGCTGCAGCAGACGCTGCAGACCGATGTCTCTGGTTATGCTAAAAGCGTCGCCTCCTCTGAGGCCTTCAAGCATCTTGGACAGACACTCTGACATGTCTACGTCAGACTCGTTCAGATCCGCCACGGTGAGCACGGGCTCCGTATACGCCCGACCTTCGTCTTCGATGTCGCCATCTATCTGGCTAGGATGACTCGGCATCGACTCTGCGTCCTCGTCTTCATGGGCCGACGCAGGCCTCGCGCTTCTGGCACTGGACGGGCTAGCGCGTATGCCGCTCGACGCAGCCGCGGCGGGGTGGCCTGACTCTGCAGCATTCTGCTCTGACCTGAGCCGGAAACCCTTGCTGATCCACTTCCTCGGTGACTCGCTCCTAGCAAATGCTGCGCTGCGCATATCCTTCAAAACCTCTCGCCTCTGCTTTTCCTTGTGCTGCAACAAGCATATCCGTTTTCGAAACTCCCAGTCATGATAGGTTGAGGCGGTACCCGTATAGATATACGATCCTGACTTTGTCTCTGCAAGCGCGGCATTGTGACCCACTGGGTGGCCTTAAACTTCAGCCCTGCCACGCTTATGGCAGGCTCAAACCCAAGCTACCCTGGAGATCTAGGGGCTCTACTCTGAAACACTAGCGCTATAATCCGACTGCCCCGCTACCAATTTGGAACGACTGGCGGCTTCCATACTCTTCTGTGTATCTGTTTACTCTTTCATCTATCTAATTTATCTAATTTGTTTTATCAACCAGAACATACAACACAAACACACATATGCAAATCAGTCCGGATAAGTACTGCCACCAACTTACCCCGTGATACCCCTTGATAGCTTCGCTATGAGGTCTAGAAAATCTGCGCTTCGGTCGTGCATCCTGTCCCGGAATGCATCAGAAACAGCCAAGACACATCGGCACAGAGATCGCTCGCGAGAGTCTTGAGCGACTTCCCGTCAAAATACCACTTCTGATTGTTCCTGCGACAGCTAAACCCTGCAGACGCCTCCATCAGCAGTCCCCTCCCAGCCCCACGACACAGCAGACAAAGGGGCTCCCGCTGTGGCAGTCGTGCATGTAGATATCTTGGTCGCCTTGCCAGTTCAAGTCCAGGCACTTGCCTCAGGTCGGGGTGACAGGCTGGCATCCCGCATCAAAGACGATGCACACATCTCGAAGCATGACAAACGCATGGTCGAGAAGCGATCCAGCATGGTTGTGAGCTGTGCCGCCGGTATGGGCTTGGGGACTTCTGGGCCCCAGCTCCACAGCCTCACCAGTGCCGATGATGCTGATTCCACATGCGACAAGCTTTCCTTTGACGAGTTGCTTGTAGGGGCTGTCTGGGCCTCGGAGACATTAGCAGCGAAGAGAAAACAAGCCCCAACCATGTCACCGTTTGCACGTCTCCGCATGGACCATCGTGGACCTCAACCAAAAGTTCGGCTTCATTGCCTCTGAGCCGAGGGACAGTTTCCGACGACAACGTTGTTGCCGACTGCTGGGGAAAAATCCACGCAACGCCCATCATCCCTGCCAGCAAACATGCAGGATCCCCTAGCAAACGCAGGTTCCAAACCAGTTCGGACCCACAGGTTGAACACAATGGAGCTTCCTTTCTCAATCCAAGTTCCAAGCACATCCAAAGTCCCGCTGGGTCTTAGGAACCTGGGGTGCCCCGCCGGGAACAGCAATCCAGAATCTATTTACATCTTTTGGCAATCCGACCCAGGACGCACAGCCAAGAGTTTTTGGAGCTGGGCACATCTTATCCTGCGCGGTTCTGCGGCATCTGATCGGTAATCACCCGCAAGCCAAAGAATTGATTCACTAACTGAGAAGCACGAGCCGGACGCTTCACAGTGGCATGCTTGTACTCCTCGCGAGGACTACCGATCCGACTCGGAGGTGAAGCCTGGATTTCAGAAGCTTGCCATCGAAGTACCACTTCTGGTTGAGGCCGCTGTGGCATGTCTGCCTGGAAGCATGTGGGCAGGTACAAGTGAGAGATTGATTACTCACGCGGCAGAGCTCCACTCAAGATCGTGAGAATGCTGAGAGTGGGTTAAAGACTGCGTCGTTGAGAACCATCAATTCAGCAAAGCAGCATGTAGAGGTTGTTGCTTCCTGGCCTCAGTTGATGCCGGACAGGGCAGCGAAGGAAGAAGCATGACAACAGTTGTCGTTCAAGCACTCAGGTCCGCTCATTGCAACCCGGCAACTTGTCCAAACACCTCGAGGTACTGAGCTCGGACTTGAGACGTTCCTCGTTCGCAGTCAGATCGTGGGCCCTATCGAGCAAGCCTTTCTCCCGCCAAACTCCGCTAAACCGTACACCTCCTGCGGTATCTGGCCAAGACTCTCCATCCCAGTACCAGCGGGTTGAATAATCTACAGTGCAGGAGCCCGTGTACACGTTGTGGTTGACAGGGTTGTGGATGAGGCACTTGTAATGGTAGTCAGACTTTATTTGCTGCCCGCCATGCACCTGAAGCTGGGAACAGAGCTGCTACGGAGACTGCTCTCTGTTTCGGGGCTGTGGTACTGAATGGCGTCTGTTGGAAGAAGCATCACTGCAAACGGTGTGAGCCGCTTCAACAGGGTTCAAGCTTGAACCGGAGCCCCACTCAATCTTTACAAAAAGCCCGAAACAGCAGCTCACAGCCTCAACACGTCCCGCGAGCACGCGGCTGCATGCTCGTTACAGCTCGCCCTCCATTCCCCTTCTGCTCAAGACACTGTTTGTCGCCAGGTCCAGACCAGGAGGTTGCTCCAGGGACAGTTGCCCACATACCTAGAAGATGCAGCCATGGTTCGAAACAGCACAATCATTTCTACTGTTGCCTGTGCTGTCTCAGACTTTTCAACTGGTTTTTCCCACGATGCACGACATGAGAAGCGGCAAATCGAGCATTGAGTCCAGAGTTTTTGCAGCCAGGCTGCACATTCTTCGAGCCACCAATGAAGTAGTCCATACAACCGTTTCCGTCTCGGCTTCTCAGGTGCCCGTTGAGAAGGTACCTTGCGTCAGAATGCTCGGATGACCAAAGCTTGCCGAAGCTAAGATTCGAATTGAACAAGAAACTGAGACTAATATGCATTCCTTGCACATGCATGCGCAGAATAATGTCGGAACGCATAGGGCGACAACATGTCTACTATACACATACACCCACATGCATACATCTTTCTTTCCAACGCTGCAAGAAGTCGTCTCGCTTTGCGTGCCGTTAGACAGGTGGCGGGCCCGGCTCTGTTAGAGCTCTGTGCTTTGCACAGATCCAGAAGCATGCTACAAGGGCAGCCTGACCACCAGAGAGGTGGATATCTCAGCAGCAACACCTGGCACGTATGCCCGTCATGGTGCTGCAAGGTCTGCAGACATGGTGTTGATAGAGATAGATGTATCCATGTGAGCGCACACAATCCGGAAGCCAAGCATATCGCTGCGGACTTTTGCCATCGTCACAACAGAAGTGCGGAGTGCCCTCTATGTGGGAACACAGAAAGGCCCGATAGTGGCCGGACTCGGGGCTCGCTCCCTCGTGGACGATCACTGCTCTGAACGCACTGTTGAAGTTGAGCGCATGTGGCCGTAAGGGCCAAACCGGTTAACCTCGATAGCCAGAAGAGTAGGAGCCGAGCTGAGCGCGGTGACACCATCAACCGCATGGCTGTACCAGCATTGAAGCATGGCTTGGAGTGTAAGGCAGACATGCGGGGCATGCGCAAATTGAGCAGGCGACACTGCAAGGAGCAGAGGCCATGTCTCCCCACGATCACGTACCTCGCAGAGGGGGACGCCGGTGGTCGGGTCGTCATCAAGCAATCTACACTGCCAGCCTCCGGAGATGAGGTAAGGAATGATAAGCCTGCGAATGTAGGTCAAATACTCAGCTGCATCATGCTGGGAGTGAGGACGGCACCAGCTTGAGTGCAGGAGCGACCAGGGCAGAAGAGACCAAAGGTCGGGCACACCCGCCCGAGAGCTCATTCGCTGCATAACCGGTTGCATGGCCAAGGTCCAGAGGTCCTGAGCAGGGGGCAGGTGTAGCATTGCCCAGTTGACACCAAGCAGCACGGCATTGGCATAGCAGTGATTGTGAGAGTTAGCAATGTTGGCAGTGGGATGCAGTAAGGCTTAGTAAGGCGTGGACCTTCACTTCGCCTACAGTAGCTTGGACATCTCGTTGGCCAGGACGGAGCGACCCATGCGCTCCATTCTGAGCGAGCCGCCGACGAGTTGCCAAATAGAGGAGTGGGTCAGGCTGGCAAGGCGCCGATGCAGAAGGTGCTCGGTGCGACTCCCCACCTGGAGAAAGAACGGGATGGTGGGACGCTTCAGTTGACCGGTGAGTTTCTGCGTAGAATGGAACCGAACAATGGAGCTGAACCTTGGTAAGGATTTCGAGCATCCTGGGTAGCGGAATGGGGCTCTGGTAGCCCCCGGCGCTCCAACCGTCTGCCCTCCTGATTGAATCGGTCTCGGCTTTCTGCGGTCCCCGGTGTCTCGGCTACCGCCTTGAGTCGTTTCAGGAGCTCCGTGACGAGGGTCTGGAACAGGAAGGAGCGAAGCGACAACCAGAGACCGCCACTTTTCTGTTCCTTCAACTCGTGCCAGTGCTGTGATTTCTTGATGAAGAGCGCCGTCAAGGAGACCTGGGATTTTCTCTTGAAGAACATTATGAAATTGTTTTCGCTCCTGTCGATTCCCATCTGGTCCTCGTGCCGGAGCAACAGTTTCCCCATCATCCAGCACAGGCTCTCCATCTGGGTCTCCGAGGGGCTGTCACTCTGTTGAGGCCGACGTCGCGCCAGCTGTCGAGACCCCGTTGCCTGACCGGCCCCCCTTGCCACGTCCACCCCAGGAGCTGGGACGTTGATCCGCCATGAGGCGTAGGGATTTAGACGAAGGACGACAGACTGCTGGAGAATCGGGCACGCTGAAGCGGAGTAGATTCTGAACACTCTCCTGGTCTGGCGGCTGGATCCTTGTGCGGAGACCACCTCCGACACGACTGCCATCTGCATGAAAATCGCAGTTAAAGTCGCCCATATCAAGAAGAAGACCGCTGCGCATCGGGAGCCCTGCCCTGCCAGTTTGTGGTGGATCTTGGCCCACACATCGGCACGCTTGCCAAGTGCCCGGTCTAGGCCTTCCTGACCGGGGAACGACACAGAATTTGCGTACAAGAACGTAAGCCACCAGCACGTCAGGGGATGGCTCGCCCTCTAGCCTTACCTGGACTAGGCGACCCTGCACAACCTCAGAATACTGGACGCGGTCTGGCCTGAAGAAGCGCTGGTTCACCAGGACAAGGATCCCGGTGACCTTGTCCGTGCAAGGGCAGTGAAAGGCGCTCCACCCACGGGTGTGGTAGGTCCAACCGGAGCTCCAGCGTGTTTCCTGGACAGCGATAAGCCCAAGATGCTGAGCACGCTGCTGCATCCAGAGAGTGAGCTGCTGGTATCGGGAGCTGGAAAGCGGCAGCATAGACGGTGCGACCTCGGTATGGTGTGTGTGCAACCCTGTGTCGAAGG